AAATTTGTACAGCAAACTATTCCTTCAAAACTTCTTGTTTTTTACTGTGAATAAAAGGTTGAAATTCACTCGGTTGTATCGATTGTATCTCCTCAAAAATCTTTCTAACAAAATAGTTTTCTACGCGATTTAAATGCGAAATTTAGAAACGTATGTGCCTTACAAAGAAAGATCACCTTATCAGTTGACCGCGTTGAATTGAATGCCTTCCCAGGATTAATTGTTCTTCATCCTGACGTATACAACTCGCTGTATGAGTAGCGTCCTCAGATGCTCTGGCTCAATGCCCCATGGGAACCGGACAACTCTTCAGTGACATGCTATCACCCACTGAATTACACGCCTCCAGAGGTCTTAATCAGATCTTCTAAATAGCCTTCCACCAGCTATCATCACAACCCTGGCTAGGCCTATCACCTCGTACCTGTTGAAATGTGAAGTGTTTACGTCGAGGAAAACTGACAAGACGGTGCTGCTGTATGATAAAATAGATGCAAACGTTATTGATAAGTACCGCCCAATCTGACTGTGGTTTTTCAGGTTTTACGCGAGTTTCCTGGATAGGAGTGACAAAATACTACATGAAGTACAGCCACGTGAGGAAGCACGTTTGAGTGAGGGATCAGTTCAGTCGATCACACCCACACTGTTCCAATACTTTCTGAAGTATCGCGAAGGTATAGAATGCCATTATGACTCACTTCCGATTTGAAGAGAGCTTTCGATACCGTCGGAACAGAATTTTTATCCAAAGGGAACCAATATCTCTGAATGATCCAGAAGCATGTGTTAGGGTGTCCGGAAAGTTTTGAGAAAATTATGCCTCCCAACTGTTAAAGCATGTTGCTCCCGGACGCCTTAGAGAAGGACTACAGATTTGATAACAGAGAAAGGAAATGGTCTTTTAGCCATTCCTTTCCACTGATATCAAATCTGTAGTCTCTTTAAACACGGTCAAGATCTGTACGTGGAGCGGTCCTTCGAAGTAGATAATCGTCGATCGAACCATGTGACATCGGTAAGACTACTGGAGCATTCTGCTTCACTATTAAAAAACCGATTGCTTCGACACTCAGGCTTGGAATGGGATATGGTGACTGATGAGTTGCAGTGCACCTCTTTTCTTGCCACCCACTATAAATGGCACTATCGTTTTCTCTAAGAAGAGATTTGCTTCGACGAAGCTCGTCAAAGTGAACGGTGCACTGTCCTCAAATACCGACACTGTTCTGGCCTCCCGTCAGGGCAATTCTCAAAGTGTCAGGAAATGAAAAGACGATCTATACTTCTCAATCCCTCATCCACGACCTTCTACGCAAAAGCCACTTTCAAAGGATCCTTTGAAAATATCTCACACTCCCTATCTGAGCGGGAGCTCGAATGCGAGTCGGTGTGTGCCTGAAACTCCTCGATTGTAAGCGAATAGCAAGGTCAAACGACCTGTTTAATGCTCAGGATGAAAGGCAGGTGGCACACGAAAATCCAACAGGAAATTGTAATGCTTACTAATGGACATAAGGCCACAGCTCGCTATAAAGCGAGGCGCTCACGCCAAGGTGGATATGAGCTCATTCTTACTATGAGATCCAACCGGAGTCTACTGCGATGACTGCAAGAGCATTCTGTTAATAACTGAAAGGGATCGTGTTTCAAGCCGCAAATTCACATCGATTACAAGGAAATTTTCAACTGCGATGGCTAATGCGCGACCACCCCACGTCAGGACGTCGATGCATGAGCTAGAAAGCTTGGTATAAGCTGACTACCTCACTTCCCATACACTCACCTGCCCTCAACCAATGTGACTACAAAACGTTCAGAAGCCCTTAAGTCTGCTCTAAAAGGAAAATTCAGCAGCCGTTAAGAAGCTGAAGTAGATAGTAAATGAATAGATTGGATCGCACCTCTCTTCTTTTTGGAGGACTCGCATCAGCACCCTGTCCGGTTNCATACACTCACCTGCCCTCAACCAATGTGACTACAAAACGTTCAGAAGCCTTTAAGTCTGCTCTAATAGGAAAGTTCAGCAGCCGTTAAGAAGCTGAAGTAGATAGTAAATGAATAGATTGGATCGCACCTCTCTTCTTTTTGGAGGACTCGCATCAGTACCCTGTCCGGTTGATGGAGAGATATTGTGGCAAAGAAACGTCGCTATCTCGATCACTCATTTAACTTTGTTGTTGAGGTCATTTTGTGGTGAAAAAACCGACGAAATATTCTCTAAACTTTCCGTTCACCCTGATATCTAAGTCTAGAAGTCAACATGATGAGTGACTTAACTCAGATGCAGAGCAGGAGGAAACGCGCGACGTGGATAGCATTTGGAAGTGAGGGCACTCTCACCTTTTCACTGTTGCAGTACTACCTGCTCTGACGTACGCCTTGGACTTAGACGTGTACTTTACGAAAGCATAATAGACATGCAGCCTTGCATCATTCGATAGGCTTTAAAAAAGGAACGGCGCTCGGAATCCTTCGGAACACGTAAGTGCAGAAGGGACTCCGGTGTTCCGAGCTCAATGAATGAAGATTAAGGGCGCGTTGCTTACACCAAGGATCCGAAGTTAAGTTGGACCGGACACGCTATGAGAAAGCGTTATGACATCCGGAACAGGGTTACTGACTAGATCCCCCGGAACGTCAAGCAAATCCCAGGGCCGCCGCCAGCGCGAGTCAGACTTCTTCACCAAAGCTGTAAACGAAATGAATGCTAACCCTTCCCAGCGAGGAAGATCCACTGGACCATTCTTGCTCACCACAAGCGTGAATCTACGCGTTATGAGAGCGCAGTTCTGGGGAATTCATGACTGGCGGAAGGCCTGGGATACAGGTGAACAGAAACTGTCACCAGTTAGCTACAATCCCGTCACGTCTCACATCATTCATCAGTGTTCCAAGATTTCGCAGGTAATGCGTATAAGGCTTTGTGGCTGTTGCCATCTCCTCTCGTCTACAACTGTGGTGCCAGGGTCCCGCAATGTTCGGGTCATCAGTATTTCAACCCACATCACCACAAACCCAGGGGGTTCACCTAGTGCCTAATAAGTACTCCCATCTTCCGTGGCATTGGTTGCATTCATGAGCATTGATCCTGTTTTCCTCATGATATAAGCATACCTATCTTACATTACACCGACACATCATTATACATTTATCTTCTCTTTGCATGTATAATGACTAGGCGTAATATTATGGCATGGCTAGATATTATGGCAAGGTTAACATATGGCAAAGCTAAATACATGACAAGGCAAATATATGGCAAGACTAAATAGGTGGCAAGGCAAATATATCTTCATATAGTTGGATTTACTAGAAGTGGATGAACACTTACAAATAACACTTACAAAGATCCAGAAATAATGATGTGCGCAAATAGAATACATCCAAGGAGAAAATGAGGTAGATGCAGAAGGATGAGATGAGGCATGTCAACTTATTTCATGGTCCTTTTTCATGGAATACACACTAGGACTAGACTACT